CTGTTTAAAAAGTGCGGGGGGGGGGGGCGTTCTGACCCTGAGGACGGTCTGGGGTCAGGCTGCCGTCACGCATGCAGCGGCAGCAGGGAGACTCCTACAATTCTGTACAGTTTTCAACATCCTCCTATGAAAAACCCGTCACCGCTTAGAGCTGCACCAAATATTTATAGAGTTACCATGGCGACTGTGCAGAAAATTGACCCCCAAAGTGGAGCCGATTCGGGCCAGATGCCCATTCAAACAGAACCCCCCCCCCTCCTTGATTAGGCTGCACACATACCATCACCCTCATCTCTATAGAGGCAAACATCAACACTTGTTTTACTTTATCATATTTGACCGTTTCTACCTGCAGGAGAACAAAAATATCTACAGTAAGAAGATTTTGTGTTTTTCTTGTGACGGATGGATGTCAGATTTTAACACGTCGCTGTTAAGTGAATAAAAACATGATATAAATCTTTAAACAAGGAAAAAAAAACATCCAATAACATCAATTATATTCATGCAGAAAGTAAAGAAACACTTTTTAAGTCTTCAATTGTAAGACTGTTTTTAAGGAGGTCATCTAGTTTGATTAATCGCCTTAAAACACAAATAAAACTTTAATTATATCCCGTAATAAATATCCTCAATAGAATTCATATTGGAAGTGATCGTTATTTAAAACACAGCTTCCTAAATGTTTCTAAACCTCCCCCCTAAGCAATATTAGCTTCACAAACTAACAGGAAAAAATAAAAAAATAAAGAAGAAATAAATGAACTTTGTTTGTCTTATTTTATACCAAATTGTTGCTTATTGCATCTGTTAGGAATTAATGGTTATAGCTGCAACTTTACACCAGTGATTAAAAAAAAAATTAATCCATTGTCTCAGAGCGGTACAGAATTAAACTATAAATTCTACTGAAAAAAAAACACTAAAAAAAGATAGCAATAATTGCATATTTTTTGACATGTCCAAAATATTATTAATTAACTGGCTATGACACAAACATCGACAACAATTCTGCACCAATAGGAAGAGTTGGTTGGATTCACGCAAGTCTGAGCTCATCCTATTAGCTAACGAGGGAAAACATTCACCAAATTCTATCTCAGTCGGAGCTACGGCGCCCCCTGCAGGAAATCCTGCCCATTGACATCAGGGTTCCNCTGGACATTAAATTATGTTTTGTGATTTTATAAAGTGTTTTTATAATGTTTTTTTGTTGTTGGCATTCATATAAATATATATAATATCATTTATGTTTGACTGGTTTTTGGTAAACGTCTATTTTGAATTTATAGCCCCCCCCCCGGAGAAAACTCCACCAGACGCCACTGGGTGGCAGCATCATGATGCTGGGGCGCTTCATCGCACAGATGGGATCATAAAGACAGAAAATCAGTGGAAATACCGAAGCAGCAAAGTCTGGCTTTTCCTAAACGGCGCTGATCTGAAGAAAACCAGCCGTTCAATATGAGCATAAAGTTTCTAAGCAGAGCAGAAACGTCACAGACATCTTTGGTAATCCGTATTTTAACCTCTTTTAAAGTCAGTGATTATGTTTTGCAAACATCTGGTTTCTCTGGTAAAACCTGAACATTGTTGATCTTTGTTCTGTTAATAAAACGGCGTCGATGCGTCACACATCCCGTTTTTCAGCGATGAATGAGGTATATCTTTGACTCTCAGTTCTCCTTCAGGGAACCACTTACTTCCTCATTAGGGCTGGAACGGAGGAAGCTGTGAGCGACGCGGGAACAACCCCCCCCAACCATCATTAATACACAGAAAAACAAGTCTTACCCCAAAGATGCCTTGCTTCTTGGTAAACTGTCCGCCGCTGAGCGTCCAGAAGTAGACGTGGGATTTACCGCAGGTGATGATGTTGTTGCTGTCGCTGGGGTTGAAGTCCACAGCGAACACGGCCTCGTTGGTCGTCTGCACACAGGAGCACAGTCACCTTCAGTACAACCGCCATGGAGGAAGCAAAGTAACATCCGTACAGTCTAGTTCTAGATCAGGGGTCCGCAGCCTGAGGCGCTTAATACTTTCACATAAATACAATAAACAATATTTTCTTCTTTAATTAAAAAGTTAATTTCTGCATGAGAACTAAAAGGAACAAGTAATGACTGTTTAGTAGAACTGAGCGATACCGATTGTTTTCATAAAAGCAGGTAACGCTCCACCTTTCATGTTTCAATCTTATTTTGTAAAGAGGAAAAATACAAGCAGTCGTGAAACAATAAAACGATCAGTCTGATTTGAAGGCTTTTA